AGGAAATGTTATGTTCTGTTTTTATATTTGCACACCAAATAGTGTCCTATTAAAATAGTTTAAAATTATCCACATGACACAGGTGCTATCTAAATTGTTCCTGTTTACATTAACTGAAAATCTACCCTTTATTGTTCAGACAGAAATATGTGTGTTCTTTTCTTTTCACTTAAACTGGTCCAGTATAGAAGTAACTCCATGCAAGTCAGTGGAGCTGAATGAGAATCAGAAAAAAAGGTCATATCTGATGGGTGGAATTTTTTTACTTGCACTGAGATATCACATTTTTTCCCCTTTTGAAGAAAGAATGAAAACTTACCATGTGACTTTTCCACTCTTTAATTTTATATGTTTTATATGCTTTATAGTTTGGACACTGTATGGACAGTTTGTTGTTCCATTTACACCACAAATTATGTGAATTTTGCCTGAATTCTCCAGCCAAAATCCTTTCTGAAATTATCTCTTTAGAACACTATAACTATTTTTATAATGATAGCAACTCTAGGGACTTGTGTTACAGAGAATGCAAAAGTGGTTTCCAATTCTACTTTCCAGATCATGAACTTGAGAACATAAAAGGTCTTAACAGCTCAAAAGGTGGTATTTTAAAAAAATAATATGCTGTATTCATTAGTTCAGAACAGTAAAGTCATGTAAATGTAACTGTGCACACGTGTAAGTTTTAAAAAACTCCCTCTTTGCAACACTTATTTTGCAACCTGTTTTTCTGTATGGTAGATAGAAACTTTGGATTGTTTGGAGGAGAACTGGCTGCAGTTGTGAGGCTTTTGGGTTCTTTATGTGCAGCAATGAACAAGCTGGTTTCAGATTTAAGAACATGGTGTTACTTCAGATCAGGAACATGAGCGTCTCTATAGTATTTACCCTTCAGTGCAGGACATCATGACAGATAGAGTTTTAAATCTTCATGTCTTTGTTTTTTTTTTTTGTTTGTTTGTTTGAAAAGGGATTATGCCTGTGTAGAAAAATGTAGAGTCTTCCTGTCAGTGTATGAGTTTAATGCACATTTGAGACATTGGCAGCACTATAATAAGCCACAGTGGTAGTTACCATCTGTCATGTTGCCAAACTATCTCAAGGCATATTTGTCTTTCTCAGAGAGGGGAGAATATGTCAATGCACATGGAAATGGAAAGAAAAGCTGTGCTTTTAGCCCACCCCTACCACATAATCACAACTGATGCTTCTGGACATATATGGAGGAGTTTAGCTCCATCTATCCAATATCCTGTCCAGAAAGGCAGTGCAGAAGTCTAGTCACTCTTTACAGCTTAGTCCCACTTTCAAGGCAGCTTCAATTGTAATCTCGTGCCACCAAAATACCACTGTTGTTTGATTCATTGCGTCACTGGTAGCCTTCCCACGAACTCAAAAAGTGGCAAGAGGCAATCCTGAAGTAATGGAGCCTCAGTGGGTGTGGGAGTTGCATGGATGGGCCAAAGCCTCTGTGGGTCATTGCCCTGCTAGGAGATGTACCTACTGCACCATTAAGTAGGCTGCTCCTGGGCAGGGGCAGAGAGGTGGTGAGCCTTGAAAACACCTGCTGCTCTTGCTCTTTCTGCCTTCAATAGAAATAGTGTGTTTCTGTGTCTGGAGGCCAGGGCACCAGCATGGCAAGGTCCAGTGGGAAAATGGACCAGGGAAAAAATGCACTTGGGCAAAAACAACCTTGAAAGACCCACTCTTCGTTAGATAAAATCTGCGTAGTGGAAAGCTGGTGAAACCAAGTATTAATTCTGAAACATTGCAATAATTTGTTGTTTTCACCTTTTAAGCATTCACAGTTTCTGGAGATAAGTAAGAAAAGTGTCTGATTGCGAGTGTCAGACTGGGTATGTGTTTCTCAGAGGCAATTCCTGTGTCACTATTGGGGTGCTATTCCCACTATCACTGGTATCAAATACACTCTCAAGCATCTGATTTTACTGTTTAAAGTGGGATGATGACTGAAGGGCAAAATTGCAGCTTCAGTGTTTATTGAGTGTATATGGCAAAAAAAATACAGGTATCCAACATGTCACACTTCCTTGATAAAACTGGACTACTTTAGAATGAATTTCATCTTAAATGCTGACTTCTAAGATGACTGTGCATGTGAACGTAAACTAGACAATAATGCAATGGCAGTTTAAATAAAACTGAAAGTCTTTAGGCCCCAACTCAGAATTAAAACTCTTAGAAATCTTGTCTAATGTTTTGTTTATGCTGCCTGCCCCCATTCTTTGAAAAATGCAGGCTAGCCAAAACTTTTTGATCCTTCTGCTATTAACAGATGGTATATGTAGCTAAGGATAAGCTGTGACTATCATTTAGGCCGCAAGCAAAGGGGTGAGGGATGCTCCCCTGTGGGTACCCTTAAAAGGCCATAAGCTTGAGTAGCAAAAATGAAAAGGTCTAGTGCTGGTGTTAATTACGCAGAAACCACACAGAAAGTGCTCGCTGTCACAGAGTTGAGAGGTTGTGCATCCCTTCCACAGATAAAAGACATGGTATGAAAACATTTTGCAGAGGACAATGAAGTGAAGATTAGCATAATCTTTTGCAGTATCCTCAGTAAGCTATCCATGAGTGAGCTGCTTTTTTCTCATTCCTTTTGCTCTAATGTCTGGATTTAAGGAATGGCAATGTAAGAATAGGCTTTGTCCTTGAAGCCTGACAGTTGTGTTTTCCCGCCTTCATGTGATCATCCTTGTTGCTAGTGTACTGCTCTTCTGGTAATCAGACAATGGAAGGAAAATGAAGTGTCAGTTTATTGACAGAACTTTACCCTGTCTATGTTTTTTTTTAATCCAGACTCATCAGTGCTCTCACATTCTGCATATTTCCTCATTTCTTCAAATCAATAATGCAAAATCTGTTCTATAACTGTTTTGGATGAAAGTAAAGGAAAATAACACTGGAAAAATCCTAAAAATAGCTCCGTGGAGCCTAAAAGCAATGTAATAGTATAATTTCTCTCTGCTTGGGAGGAGAGTATTTGTGTGGATGCCTGTTTAGCGTGGTAAATTGAGCATGCTGTCATACGTACCTTGGCAAAAATGGTTCTTTAGATGCACATCCTCAGGTGCACAATGTTTAGTTTTAGCATGGAGGCTTAGCCATATACATGTTTTGGTTTTACGTGAGTATCTCTAGGGCTGACACAGTGGCTAATACTCAAGTTTGTTAGCCACTTTGATCCTGAGTGCCCTGTTTTAAGTCTTGCTACTACTGGTTAAGCTAGCGCTTTGTTACTGCAGGGATAACTGGAGGATTCGGAGTGTTGGGAGGTACTATCCCCAAGATCAAAATATAAAAATAGGTCTGAGGTCAGGGAACTGTACAGACCCCCAGAAGCTTTTCAGTTTTACAGCTGGAGATAGTCTCTTAAGTATATATAAATCGTCATTAGGATTCTGACAAAGAAGTGCACGATGGGATTGCTGCAGGGCAGGCTCTTTGAATCTTATTCCTGATAAAAACCACTTCTGGCTGGCTGACAGGAGACAAGGCAAGTTCAAGGAAGGCATTAAAAACATCTTAAATCTATTGATGGCAGCAGAAGCATTGGGATGAATAGTTTGAGATTAGGATGAAGATTTCTGAGTGCAGTCAAAGCAGAGAATTTGGCTCCAGCTGGCAATTCTGGGGAAAAATATGTTTCTGAGAATGGTCCGATTCAAATAATACTGTACAGGATCACCGTGAAACTTTCTGAAAGGGAATAGTTGATTTTTTTTTTCCTTTATACCCCCCCTCCACCCTGAGAAAAAACTCTATCTGATGGAAATACCACTCTAGCAGAAGGCAGGCTACCTGTGAAGGAGTTTCTAACTGACTCTCAGTGGAGCAATGCCTGAAAGACACATGCTTTGTTTGAGACTGGTATCTGTGCATACTTGCCATGGAGCATCACCTTGTACCTCCCCAGCACTGTCCAGAGCCACTTGATTTGGAATTCCAGTAGGTTATTCCTCCTTGTGACCTTCGAGGTAATGTTTTGTCCTGTGCTACATGGACAGGGCATCAATATGATTGAAATCCAGCCCAGCAGATACCTGCATTGTGCTGAGTGCAAATTAAATGAAATTAAAAGACAGTTCGGTGACAGGGTGACAAAAGGACTTAGTGGTCCAAGTTATCCTAGTTCTGTGCTAGCACTGAGAGTGGTTATCAGCCTTTTGTTAAAGAAAAAATAAATTGCAGCTTTTCTATCCAGCCTAGAAATCTGACCCAACCTAATGCAAGCAGACAGGTTCAGTGCCACCTAAAATTATTTTGCCTCATCAGTGAACTGTGGTGTTTGCCTGTTCATAAATACTGTGGACACCTTATTGTTTGCTCCACTGCCATCTGACACACAAAATTGAATCAAATACTCACTATATCCAACTTGTTGTCAGATATCAAATACAAAAATAAGCCTGCTTCCCTTTGTGTTTTAGCTATCATGTTTTGTTATGTCAGACTCTGGGATCACAGTATGTTTGACTGGGTCCCTCTGAAAAAGAACTCAAGTGATCTGCAATTCATGCTGATTTGAGTGAGACAGCAGTTGGTGGGCAGCAGGTAATTGAAAGTTTGCAAGGCATTTATACCTAGCTGTCAGCACAGCTCTGGATTTGCATAATTGTTTAAAACATCAATGAGAATTGTTACATTTAATTACATCTTATTTACAGGGGACTTGGAATATTTGATTTATTTTTGAGGATTGGAACAGGCTGCCCAGGGAAGCACTTGAATCACTATCCCTGGAGGTATTTGAAAGATATGGAGGTGTGGCCCTTAGGGACATGATTTAGTTGTGGACTTGACAGTGTTGTGTTAATGGCTGGACTTCAAGATCTTAAAGATCTTTTCTAACCTAAGAAATTCTGATTCTATATTTGAGAGAATGTTAACTGAGGTACAGAAAACTGAACATATAGATAAACAGGAACCAGAAAATTAGAAAGCTCATTATGAATTGGCTAATAATTATTTTCTTCTTTCAGAAGTACTTCATAATAAGATATCCTTAAAGCACTAGAAGTGATAACCATTCAAGCTTCCCACAAGTGCATTGCCACAGGAGTCACGATTTGTGAAGAGAACGTAGATGTGACAGGAAACAGCTCACAGGTTTCTTGATCACTACAGAACAAACCAGGTGAGATTTTATTTCTGTTAAAGTACCTTGGAAGTGCAAGGGCTTCTGTGTAGAGGTAGCACAAGAACCTGTTGATCATTCAGGGTGGCAAAATTTAAAATACACACATAGGCCAGGAAGCCAAATTACACAACAGGCTTCCTATAATGGCTTGCATTTTTTAAAATGCAGTCCACGGTCCTTTCCAATGCACAGCTTTTGTGCTTCCACCTTCTCCTAGGAACATTATTCTTCATAAGGTACCTATAGCCAAATTGCATTCAGAACCCTTCATTCCCATGGTCTGTATTCATATCCTGCTTTATTCACTATTACAAATATTCGCATCAGTTTTTGGTTTTGTTCACACAAATGTTTGTGTAACTGCTGCTTCATTCAAAATAAAATCTCTTTCAGTGAAAAAAGTAAAAGGACTTTAACAAGAACATTAATCTTTTGCTACTTGGCATTCGGTCTTCTCCTCTTGGAGAGCTGTCATTCATCCAATTAGGGGCAGACACAACATTGCAAGCAAGTGATCACTCCTTAAGAAACTACCCAGGGAAACAAGCTGTTCTGCATAGGCTCACCTACAGCTCACAGAGAAAACTGATGGAGTTCAGTGGGATTATGGGGAATATGAAAAGCTAAACATGTGTCTAAGTGTTGTCAGGATCAGGGCTGATGCATACATCCACCACTATCAGGAGCAGTTTGTGAATTATTAATGATAAGAAAAATTGCCTAAATTAATTGGATAATTTATTTGTAATGAATAATTCGAGTAGCTCTATTCCTGAATGTCTTTCTGCCCTTGAATGGAGCAGTTTAGAAGTGCTGCCTGCCTCTTGTTTCGAATGTAGCTAAAGCTTCAATTAGGCTTGCCTACATCGAAACTTGACATACCAGTTTCTTTCACGTATTTGTACAGACAGAGAAGCAAGTCTGTATTTGAGTTGTATTTTTTCAGGGTTTGAAGTCTTGTTCAAAGATCTTGAAAAATTGAATGACTGAGGACATAGACTGGATTTCTGCCCTTCAGTTTATGTGCAAAATCAAAAACATGCAAAGTTTGGTAGTATCTGAGCTTCATCTGATAAGGCATACATTAAAGTATAAAAAGAAAGCCCAGAAATAGGAGACTTGTCAGTTTGAATGTTAGTTAAATAAGTACATAAGATAAACAGTTCAGTGAGGGTTATGTAGCTGAATTTTCAATCAGGATGCACAAAAGGCTGTTACAACAGCCTCTTCCATTACTAAAAACGTGTAGGATTTGTTGCACAAAGTAGCAGATATAGTTTTCAGAGGAAAATCTATAAGTCTTAACAAATCTTCCTTTTTAAATTAAATATTATTAACCAACTCAGAGCACCGGAAATCCCCCTAACCCCAACCTCTTTTAAAAATCCACTATGCAGCAGTTTTTGACTGTTTATTTGCCACTTAATTGGCACTGAAAAGTCTTTCTTTCACAGCTGTTTATTTCACACCTGCAAACAGGTACTCCATGCTACTAAATTTAGTTCAATGCATCCCTCTTTTTGGTTTTAATCTTAAAATAAATTACTGTTGCCATTCTGTTGAATATAATTGGATGAATAGCTGCAAGTCTGTGATACTATCACTAAAATTCTACATGGTACAATACACTGTTAAACTATTTTGCTTCATTATTGTATTAAGTTTGAAATTATCGACCCAGCAATTCAAGACAAACTAAGCCTTCTAAAAAAAGGAAAGAAGCATTTGATGATTAGGTGGACCAAAGTTCTCACTGCTTGTATCTTTGTTGAAGAGAGCTTCTTCCAATACTGCAAAAAAGTGTATCAGGGACACAGGAGAAGGCAACAGGGCAAGAGCCAACCACAATAGCTCCTAGTGCCACTGTCTGAGGACAAGTCAGTGACTGCCTAGAAGAGTTAAAGTGAGACAGGGAAAAGGTGGAGTTCTGACCTAATCAGGGAATAGATTTAAAAGATATCTGTGTGGGGAGAAGAGTTTTCTGTGGGCAAGAGAGAAGAGGAAAAGAAAAAACAGCTTGTAATATAACTTGGAGTGTATATGTGTATGTGTGTGTGTATGTAAGTGTGTATATATGTGTATGTTTATGTCAGGGAATTTGAACATTCTGGGATTTGTAAGGTAGAACCCTACAAGGCATAGGCATTTTCTGCACTTTCCTTGTACAATCTTTACTTTTATTTCTGAAGTGTGATATTAAAGGAGCTGACAAACCAGGACAAGCGATTCAGACAGCGTGGTATCCATATGCACTTTGAGAGCTGTGTGTAAATCCTGGGTTAGCCAGCTGGCTAAAGCTCTGTTTCCTTCTATGGGGACATGGGCAAACTGCTCTGCTCACTGCATTGTCACACAGGTTATGAAAAGGGAGGACATGGCATGCTGCTTTTTTTTCCAAAAAAAGGCATGTTGTACAAATTGGTGGCCAGGAACAACAGTGAACACAGGAGTCATGGAGCTCTGAAAGGTCACGGCTTAGAGATGGGTGGAGGTGCAACTCCATAGAGATCATAAGTGAAAGACCCTCTGTGGTTACAGCCCTACTCTGTGGAACTCTAAGAGTTCATTAAAATGTGGTGCATAGTCTTATTTACAAATATAAATTGTCACAAATTAAAGTTTTTAGAGCCTTCCACAGGACTCAGGTTTCTGTCACTAGAGAAGAGTTTCCTTTCATATCTACAGACATTATATATGAAATTTAAGTGTGACTGTTTATTGTGTTTTTTCACGTGTAATTTATCTGGATTCTGCAGGTATACTTTTTTTGCATTTGTTCTTTGGTGCTAATGTATTTTTTGTAGAATATGTGTAAATAGATATGAGCAAACTGTGTAAAAGTTATTCAGCTACCCAGTGAACCATGTAATCTGTTGATTCATAGAGACAACAGATAATAGAGTGAGATATTTGCTTTACACTGTCTGTATAGTATCTAGGCACAGAGTCAATTTGTGTCCTGTCGGGGCATGTTGTACCACACTATATTATCACTTTGAGGATAGGCAATTTGGGTAATGAATATGTGAGCTGGCTGGGGGTGGAGAAGTATATCTGATATCTATAAAGTGGAAATGTTGAACCAAGGTTTTGGCTTCACCCTCGTCAATTCAAAGCACTTTCATCACAGACAAGCTCTTTTGCTATCTTGGAAACAGTATTGTTTATTAGCTTCTATCTTTCCCTTTATCATATCATAAAAATTGAAACAATGCACTAAACACTGACACTTTCTTTGTACAGCAGGTATGAGTAAAAATGGCATCCCTTTGGGAAAACACAAAAATTAAATGGAGGTAAACAAGCATTTTGAGAGCATTTGAAAGAAAATAGTTCCTCTTTGTTATGCTTGATCCAAGGATCCATTTGATCAGGCTGTGCTTATGCTCATCTACTGCAACAGCCCATCACTACATTGCCGTTCCAGCCGCTCCCAACAGCCCTGGGGTTGACAGCTGTGCAAATGAGCAGGAGGCGCAGAGTATTGACAAATAGGCCACCCTCTGTCCACTCCCCAGAATATGCTTCACAGCATCAGATTTTTGTTTTCTTATTAATCCCTCTCTTAACAAATGATCTTGCAATCTGTTGACATTTGCATGACTTTTCCAGGATTCCCTAGATTCTTGACAGGTATTTACAAAACAGAATTTATGAAAGAGAGATGTTCCAGGGCTGAACTGCTTCCTCTACTCTTCCCTGTTGATGGCGTGTGGTGCAACGCAGGAAAATCTAGACCTAAGTTCTATGTCAAGTAACAGAATGAGGTTAGCTGTGTTACTCCCTGAATAGTTTGCCCTTTAATAGATTAATAGGTTAATAAATTTAAATTGTTTCTCTCTAGTACTGGTACAACTGAGATTGGTTGAAGATGGCTCCAGTATTGCTGTGCAGTCAGGGTAACAGATGAGTCTCACAATCAAATATACAGGTAATCCAAAGAAACTCACTAAACTGTCCTTAGAGTACCTAGAATCCGTCAAGCTGAGGTTAGCTCCATCCACCTCCTCTTCCCATCTTCTGATCCTACCATCATCACCTGGAGTCACAAATGAGATTTAAAGCCTTCAGAGGGGAGTGGGAACGAGCTATCCACCCACACTGCGGGTGACTGTCACATCAAGGAAATCTCCATACATCAGATATGAAGCCAAACAGCAAAGGCTTAAAATTGGAAAAGCTGGGTGAAACATATCAAAATCTTCCTTCTTTCCACACTAATGGTTGGTGATTTGTCCATAAGCAATCATTTCACTCACATCTCATTCAGACCTCCTGATAAGGCCTGCTTCTGACATCTTGATTGGCTTCACTTTGACAAAATTCCTCCTGTAGGTAGTCCCAGAACCTCTCTTCCCTTCATCCCCACACCTTCTACCACATACACCCAAGCTTCTTTAGCATCTTAATTGTACTTTTCAGGTAAGGCTGGCCAGCCAGAGAGCTACCCCTCTGAGGATAGCTGGGCTGGCCCAAGTAGGCACTCCTCTCCTTACATCTACAGTGTCACATCACCTTGGCCACTATGAGCAGTCACTGTCACAGAAAAAGGAGGCAGTGTGGTAAAAGTAAGGCTTAGTCATGATTCCTGCGGAGGTACAGAAGTGGGTTTTTTCCCCTCTAATTAGTGCTATTTATTGTCTGTGCTGAGAAGACCTGGTGAAGGTAAAGGTCAGCATTTTGATATTCATTGTACAAACACAACAAAAAAACAGCCTGTATTAGCGTAGTGGCCAATTAGTGTTTGTGACACTCAGTAGGAGTTTTTTGCAAGACATCTCTCAGCCACGGGTGCCACGTGAATTCAGCTTCTTTGTATGTCTTACACTAGAATACACCTTGGAACAGAGCATACAAGGAGGCAGCTTTTGATTGCATTAGAAACATTAATTCTCAGTTTTTAGCTGCTTATACAGCAAATTTCCTCAGCAATGCCTCATGCTGCTAGTTATTGCTAAAACATTTCTGGGAATATAGCTTGTAGTTACGTTTGCTCTCAGCTTCTGGTAATCTGTTGCAATCTGATAATGTACCTCTATCTCCAAGTACAACAAGGCAACTTGATGCTCATCCATCAGCCACATAGCTTAATGCAAGCACAGTCAGGGTGAGCTTTTAAAGGGACTGGATCGCCTCCCTGACTGGAACAATCTCTTGCTACTCAACCGTTGTTTCCCATCTCTAACAATCTCAGCAGCTGCAGTGGATGTTTTGGGCCCAGTTGGAATAATTGTGTCAAGGCTTTCATTTAGGCCAGGACAACTCCTGAGTTGTTGTGCATTCTGCTTGAGTTGGGGCCAACATGTTCAAGCATTGTGTATGGAATAAATAAAATGGACTAGGGAAAATGTGTTACTCTTACTTAGGCCTATCTGTTTCTCTTGAAAGCAAAAGATATCCATGGAGAAGATGAAGGACCGTGTGTCTCCTTTTTAATTGCACAAAATTTTAGTATTGGGGTGACTATCCTGACTATGGAGGACCTTCTTCTGATGGGGACTGGGACAGAACCCACTGTGCTCACAGCTTCCTGTCAGGGAAGTTTTTGCTGCCTTACTTGGCTTAGCTATTCCAGAAAAACCTAACAGAATGGTGAATTCCCCTGCCATCCCAGTACACAGATCTTGTGTGTACGGTATACACAGGAACACTCTGAAAAAGAAGTTAGAAAATGTCATGTGTACTGTGTACTATAAAAATTTCAGTTTATCTTGCATGTATTTTTAATGGCAGCCACTTTCCTACTTCCTTTTGTTCGATACAAACAGCAGACTTGTTCTTGAAGTAAACACTGTTTTAGTCTTCTGTTTTTTCCCTTTTATTTCATTTCAGTTTAGTTTAGTTTAGAGCTTCTGCCTGAGCAGCCAGGGAATATATATAATAGGGCATGAATACATTCTTATAAGTATTAGAACAAGTATGGAAACACAGAGCCCTTAGTGACCTTGCTAGTCCTCTGCTGATCACTTGTGTTTGTTGTTGTAGGAAGGCAAACATAAGTATAGAAGTGTTATTGAACAGAAAACCCTTCAAAAATTTCACCAGTCTTTTGTATTCAAGTCGCAGAGCAATAGGGGGCCACCCTGCTCAGAAAGCATACTTATGCGAGTATTAAGAACTGGCTGAGATAAGAAGTAAAGCTTAAGAGGCCTTCATCATTAGCTGCTACTGGTGGAGATTAGTGATCCTACTACAGGATTACAGATGGAAAGAGTGCTAGTGTTGGTTAATTGTTCATTAATGCTTGTAAAATAAGATAGCAGTAGTAAAACTTGCTATTGTCTGCTCTCAAAGTAAAACAAAATTGGATCTGCTTGTCAATAGCTGTATTGATGTTAACAGGAACATGTTTAACAGATCATTTTACAGTGTAAACTACTATCCAGCTCTTTCAACATTGAGATACTATTATCTTAATAAGAAATAATTTATGTTTTAAATAATCTGTTATCTGTATACGCACATTTTATCCTTTCAATTAGCAATGCCTTCACTAGGGCGCTTTTAATATTTCAGAGTTTGCGTGTGAATCTCAGGTGGAACATTACCTCCTTGTAGCCTCAAGGATTTGTTTTATTTACAATACCTTTAGAATTGCCATCCCTTATTAGCAGGGAAGGTGTATGGGCAGCTCCCTCTGCACGGCCTGCCCCAGTGAGGGACCAGCTCTGTCCTGTACCTCCTGTGGTGCCCCAAGCATTGCTCTGCAGCAGGAGCTGCTGGTGGGTGTCCAGCACAAGGACTTTCGGGCCACACATGCCTGCTGGACTGGACTAGCAGGAGTGGGACTGCTGCTCCTGGGAGCTGTGACATTTTCCTCCCACAGCGAAGTGGGTCATCAAGGATTCTGCAAACTGCAGTGTGGCAAAAAATGTTTTTTTGACAAGGACATACTTGAAAAGAAAATGAGACCCTCCCTTTCTATTAATAAAAAGTAAACTTCAAGTGAAATACTAATCCTGGAAACAGAAAAATATTTTCAATGAGATGATGTGTGTGAAGCATTAGTGTTTTCACAAAAAATTATTTCACAGCAAGAAATCTCAGCTGCTCAAGAAATAAAAGTAAATGTTTTAAAGGCATGTGTTTTAAAGGCTCAGGAAAACTGCACACTCCAGGTTACTTCCCTTGTAGGTGCTTGAGCATGAAAATTAAAGTCGCTGGGTCTTCACAGAGGACACACCCTGGGAGACTTCATCACAACCTCAGCAGATTTTCCTCTGTGTATCCTTGGTCAAAGATAATGGTTACAAAAATTGTTGAAGATTATTTGCTCTGCCCTGATCTTGGCTGCTTTATTGGTCCCTTGGCAGCAGTCAGAAGAGGCTGAAGGGTGGCTTTAGCCTAAGCCAGATGCCCGTGGCCCTGAGGGACTGCTGCAGCACTGAAACGCTGACAGGGTGCTGAGCAGTCCTGGCTGGGTCCCTACACAGGCAGCAGGAGAGGTGCTTGGCGGTGTGAAAAGCTGCCGTGCTCTGGTAACTGGTCTGAGAGGGGCTGCATGTATGGTGGAATAAATGCAAGTGCTTCTGCTGAATGCCACTAACTTACCTGCCCCAATACATCATCAGCTGATGTCAGAGACCACGTGAACCACCGTACTGGGGCTCTGGTGGAGGGGTCATTTACGGCTTCCCATTGCCCATCAGCTGCAGCCTTGTCTGTAAAGCAAACAAGCAGGCACTGAACTCCAGATGCATGTGTTGTCCCGTGGAGAAATTTGAATGCAACGATGTCTCTGTCAGTGGATAAGAAGTGATACTGCTGGTTAATTGCCTCAAAAATGTTAACCAACAGCTCATTAGTCTTAAAGATACAAACTTGATAACCCTTTTTATGTCGTGTGGAATGAGACGTGCATAAATAATTGCATGCTGAGACCTGCCACTGAGAGACATAAGATGTTGGTTTTAAGACAAAGAAAAACAAAACCTGACTGAAATATTTGTGAAGTTGAGAAAAATAAAAGTCTCAACCTCAGTTCACAATACAAACCCGAGCCTGGCCTTTCTGTAATGAGTGTTTTCATAGGAGCAACAAATAATAGCCAACTTGTCTATGCTGGAAGTTAACCCCAGTACAGAAAACCATCCTGCTCTTAATTTAGTAACTGAAGAAGAGAGTGAGAGATATTGTAACAAATGTTGGAGCTTTCCTTACTGTTCATGAGCTTTTCCTCTCCTACAGTTTATGGGTACTTCTTCAATCACTGCAGCTGTAAATTACCTTCTTAGCAAACTGCCCTAGATCTGGTTTGGGCAGAACCTCTGGGTCTGGCAGTAACTTTAGTTCAAACCATTCAGCAGTAGTGTGACAGGCAAAGAAAAATAAAGAAATCATTACTGTGGCTTTGTTACATTGATGGAAAGCTATGGATTTGGAGCATATCCCTCTGGTTCCTCCAGTGATATTAAGGGATGTGTAAGGAGGATACAACACTGCATGGTAGCTGCAGCTTAAAAGCAAAGCATGAGCAGCTGGACAAACATGCCTTGTAGCCAGATAATTTACAGAAAGCAGAGTGCTACATGAACATTTCCAACTTGGGGACATGGCAAGGTATTTTTATTTGAATTTTAAGTGTACATTAAGATATTCTTGTATGCAAGCACTGGGACTACAGCACTTATAGTCAAGCACTGGGATTGCAAATTATTGGAAGGTGGAAAAAAAAAAAAAAGGTTAATTCCTGGCAGAAATTCTCCAAACAGCTGCAGATAACATATAAAATAGGTGCTAGAGTAACTGTGTGATGCTGGTAGAGACCTTCAGGAAGAAACTCTTTGTCTGTACCAAAATGAGAGAACAACGAAGCCCCTCTGTGGCTAGATGAGAGAAAGCGTCTGAAGTGGGGTCTTGCCATTCATTCTACCTCATTACAGGTATCTGACTGATAGCAAGGCTGCATCTCAGTGCAGCAGCTCATTAGTAAGAGAAGAGTCTGACATTAGTTCAGATGTTGATCGATGTGACTGGTAGTGTGAAGTCTGGATTGTGTTGTCAGATGGAGCTTTATCATCTGCATTGCAGCCTGGTGGTTTACAGTGGAGAATTAGTTTAGGAGGTGTATTAAACTGTTTGCCAGGAGGTTTAATATCCACCAAGCCATTGTCTTACAGCATGGCATGGCTTCCTTTACCTACTATCTCATAAAAGGCCAGGTGTAAAGATCATGAAAAGGCAAGGGACATTTTCAGAGCTGCCTCCTAGAATCCAGGGCCTGCTCAGTGCCACGTGTTATGTGACATGAGAGAGACTGAAAGTTAGATCATGGTAATGGGTGAGTAGGTGCCAAAAACATGCCCAGTTGTTGCTGTAGCATGTGTCAGCGCAGCTCTTGGGTGGGACTAAGACTTTTGACCTAATGCCACATGAGAGATGAGAAAGGTCTTGTGTATCTCTGTTCTGTTGCAGCATTAATGGCAGTTTGCAATATCAAAAGCTTATCAAGCATGATGTGGCCTTCCAAGACTCTGTCCTTAGCATGCTCTGGATCGCCCTGTCCACACATGGCTCTGCTTCCACTGCTGCTAACGGACTGCTGGGGGAACATACCAACTGACTTCATGAAATGCTTTCCTTGATGAGATCTTCTTCCAGCTTGCCTGTACTAAATAGCTGATGGCTTCCTGCAACCTTTTGGACCCACACTTCATTTTCTTGTACGCTACAGTCGAGTTCCCTCGTCTTGCCTTGTTATGAGCCAGCACATGATGGGTGAGCTCCCAGCATGCCTTGAGGTACATCAAGAGCAACAGAGAAATTAAGACAGCAGATCTACTTCAGCAAATTAGCAGCAACAGCAGGCTCTGTTGAGGAAGTTCTTTTGCATGCCATCATTTTAGTTTTTCACTATGGAGTAGTTCTAAATGGCATTTATATTTAAGTCAGTTTATTATATTATTCCAGCCATATAAAGATGTACTAAAAATTTACCAGCTCAGGCACAAAATCTACTCACCCACTCTTTTCCAAGGTGATGATAATGGACCTCCTCCCTTTTCCTGCCTTCTTCCCTCAAATTATTATATTCTGCTTGCCTGTCGAAACAAATCACCCATCTTGGGTGAATAAAATTTTGCAAGGCTGCAGTATGCAGAATGACACAGTTGTTGGGGTTTTTTTACACTTTTTGCAATTGCTCTCTGCAGAAGATTTCATGCTCCTTCCTTAATTTTTGTATGCAAGCCATTTACTGAATTCTGACACATATAACTTTGATGCAACTCTGACAATGCAACACCATTTTTCTTCTATGAAGAATACTTTTGACATTATTTTCTGATAATTTCTTTAATTAAATCAAAAAAGTAACCAGAAAAGAATGGCTTAGATCAAGCTTTTCTTTTTGTGCCCTCAGTTTCAAAGTTCTTCCCCACATTTTTGCACTCAATGGAAATTTTAGCCAAATAAAGTTGTTAGAAATTACATTTTACTGTGGTGTTTGTACACAGACCAGCATGTCCAGTACTGGGCACTGAGGGGTGACTGGTTTTAAAGGACCAAACTCTGCCTGATAGAAAAGACTGATAGCAGCTGGACAGGATACATCCTGCTCCTGACCTCCTCTGGCCTTTAGGTACCTCAATATCAACAAAAAATATTTAACCATCACCCACTCGAGCTGTGGTGTGTGAGGGGATATGGATTGGTCTCTTTCACTGACATGTTCCAAAAGGAACAGCATGAAACCTGAGTTCCTGCCAACATTTCTGGGTGTCCTATGAGCCACCTACCCTACAGCTTTTCCTGCAGGAGGATTTTTCTCCCCTTTGTGAAGCAACTCACCACAATAAACTTCCAACATTTGCCCCAAACCAAGGACTTGGTTGTGCATTTTGCAAATGTGTTGTTTTGGGCACTTTACCTGCTTTCTTTTCTATTCAAAAATCAACATGACACTTGCAAAGTAGCTCTTTTCCTCACTTCCTTGCCTCCTGCATTGTCAGAGATGCTGAAAATCAAAAATAAAGTAATCAGTTATTTTAAGCCAAAGCTTGAAAGGGTATTAATTCAATGGGATAAACTGCAGTTAAGTAACTTTTATCAAGCAAGCTGGGTTAGATAGTTAAAAGAAAGAAAAAAAACCTCTAGAAAACATACAGTAGGTAGCAGTTTATGTGTCAAGAAAACTGAGAGAAATTTTGACACTCTGATGTCTAGCAGATAGCACTTAAATCATTTTTCTCCAAACTTCAGTCATAAAACTTCAAAGAGTTTTAGCCATAATACAAATTTTTAGACTAAGAAGCGGTGTTTGAAGTTATTTTATAGGATTTTGCTGTAAGGGCTCAAATTGATTTGTAGTAAGATAAAAGAAGAAAACTTTATTTTCGAAGCTTTGTCGGAAAAAGCTTAGCTTCCATTGGCCGTTTTGCCAATATGCCTTGAGGGGATGATGATGTCGACACGGATATTATATGCCTATACGAACTGAACTGAGTTTACACCTCCTGCTGTTTGTGTTATGGTTAAAATCTGTCACAAAACTGGCAGTGATTTATTAAATGTTTAATGAAGTAAGACAAAAACTTCAAGAACTACAAACGGAAAAGTAGAACATCACATTAAAGTATAATAATATAGGTTACACTTCTGATTTTTTCATATTTCTTTTGCTAAAAATGTGAAAAACACAATTAGAAATCAAGGCAGTATCAAAAGATTATGGGGTGTCACAGATCAGTCTACCAAAGGTTGTGCTTTGCTTGTTCACTTTTTTCTTTCTAAACAGAGGAATGAAAAAAAGAATATGAAATAACAGTATTCTCACAAAAAAACCACAACAAACCAACACAAAGCAAAACTCAAGCCAGCATTATAGAGTATGAAGTCTCAGCCACAGAAAATTTTCCCTGTTAGGTTTTCAGACGATCAATAACAAATGTGACTCAGTGCTATTTCACTATTGCTTCATGTCTTCAGTTAGAAGAATATTCTCCATGTTGCACATTTTAATGATGTTTTTCTAATAAACTATTTTTAATTTTACCTAATGAACTTAATTGGAATTATTATTTATGTTAGAAAGTAATTCTTGAATGCAAATCTCCAATTTATGTTATTTTCCAATAGCTTTCAGAAATTATCTCTACTTGTGATACAACTTTATGTTTTCCATGTTCTAATAAAAGACAATATTTGTATAAGTTTCCTGTCTGTCAGTGCATGTGACTGTTAAAGCTTGGCAAGGGTATTCTTGCACTTTTTGGCAGAGGTTATTTACATTTCTTTGTATAACAGAGACTAAGTCTATATTTTAGGTTTAATTATTTTTCATTGTAAAATGTAATTCCTGTTGTTTGACTTGCCTGATTATTTATGTACGTCCTGAACTAAAAATTCATTAAACACAGCAGGAGGGGGTTTAAGATTACAAATTCATGTTTATTCTGTTATTTAACTCAAAGGATATCAGCCATCAGTACATCCATACCAACACGCTAATTCTCTGTGTGATTTATGGTGAACTTTGTGGTGCTGTTATGCCTCATGAGCCATTCTAACCCAGGTTGCTCCTCAGGCTGCTTCCTCCTGGTTCTCCCTTGTCCTCAGCAACATTTTCAAATCCAACACTTTTTGTCTCCAGGAAAGCCATCAGAGCAGCAAAAAGTAGAATTCCTATCCAAGTCCACATCGTGCTCTGCCTTCCAGAGGTGTTTGCCCTGGTCTGTTGCAATTTCATGCTTTCAGACTTCCAGGGTACCAACATAACCCCCTGGCCGGCTGGCCCTGACCAAGCCAACCACCCTGCTCTGGGTCACTCGCTTTACATTTCTGTTCACCAAAGATGGGAACATTAATTTGTTAAATAAAGAAGGCTTTCACACAGTGTAGATAAGCACAACAGCCAATGTAATTGGCAGACCCCTCCTGCCATGAATGACTCGACCTTTTTTCCCTTCCTGCCCTTTGCAGGGTTTGGCTCTGTTTGCAGAGGTTTTGGCTCTGCTGTTGTATTGAAGATCCTGCACTTTAAACTGCTTTTTTTTGTCTCCTTTTGTATATTGGTAAATCAAATTAACAGCGACAAACCCTGAAAGTTCTCCTTAAAAAAATACTGATAATAAAAAACCCAAAATACAGTCCAGTAGACAATGCTTTAATCCTTCATCTGCTGCTGCTTGTTCCCTGCTCATCAGGTGAAGGGCTGGGTGGCAGTTGGCCTACGAGTGCTCAGCAGCCTGAGGGTGGTCACAGAGAAGAATCATGTTTTGAGCTATTTATCAGGTAAGTTTAGATGTGGGAAGAAAAGCTTGTGGTTGCTCATTTTTGCCCTCACTACAGGATGTCACTGCCTATGGCTAGGGCAGATATATTCAAGGTTGCCATAACGCAGCACAGCAAAAAAAGGCAAATGACATTGGAGATATCCTTAATCCCTGGCCTTATATAAACTAATCTGCTGGGTTTTTGAAACAGGTTTATTCTTTCAGCTAGTTTTTAATCAAGTGAGTCTCATATTCCCTGTAATATATAAATGATCACACAATAATTCATACCTCTTTTTTTGTTGCTTAAAGAACAAGACGTAAGTACTAGCTGAGTGTTTTTACTATCATGTCTCATTTTTTTCAGCCAGCTATGTATTGTCAGAGGTTTTCCTGCTCATAAAACAAGTACATGGCAATTGGCTCCAGGTAACTGTTCTCTTTTTTGTTTTTTCCCCAACCTTATGGTGTGTGTTTGTGTAATATGAACTCACTTGTCTCCCCAGTTCCAGTCCAGTATTTCTGGTAAGCAGGCTACCCTTGTCTCTCTGGGACTCTTCTGAAGGGACCCTGGAAAGAAGTGCAGTGTTTCAGACTTTATTTTCATATTTTAAATGGATTTTAAAATATACTCACGAATTCTTTCTTTGCTTCCCCTGGTCTAAGCATTTAAAAAACCCCAATGTGTTTGTCAGTGTTGAAGAACATCACTATGAAAGAGGGTATCTGGACTCCTCGTGTTCCAGCAGAGATCTGCAGAAGTTAGTGCCAAATTCATTTTTCAACCATTGGACTGCCCCATTTTGAAACCCAGGACACCTAGAGACTACAACAGAAAAACCCCTATCTTTAATTTGTTTTCAGTCTCTTAGAAATTAATACTGAGAGTTTTATGTCCCTCTTGTAAAAAAAAAAAAAACCAACCAAAAAAAAACCAGTAACACCTGCTTCCTTTAAAAATGTACGTCCTTAAAAAAAAAATAAAAATAAAAGGACAAACTTGGCCCCGGGGTAGGCAGTTCTGTGGAGAGGTGGCAGAAACCTTAACTCCAGCCTGGTCTGAGCCCGAGTGCTGCGTGTATGGTCGTGCCTTAAAATAGGGGCTTGAAATCACACCGAGCAGGATCTTTATAATTGTTTCTTTGCAAAATGAAGGGTGCGGCGTGCTCCCAGCACAGCACGCGTGATGCTGTGCTCCAGCCGGGGTTCCATACTCCCAGTCGTTACTAAACTTGCGAACTACTCATGGGTCAGGATGTCGATGCAAAATACAACGATCCTTCCCTCCGGTTTAATCCATGGGACATCTAGTGGTGGGCTCCCAAATAGCACCGGGGGACCCGGCGCCCCCGGCCGCAGCGGGGCTGCCCGGCGGGGAGGGGCAGGATGGGCTGGGGTGGGCAGGGCAGGGGGGAATCAAACCTCAATATCTGCCGGGCCGGATTCCTCGGCATTGCTCTCCTCCTCCTCCCACGTAAATGGGGTTGGACCTTGGATCCACAGGTGAGGCAAACAGGCGTCCTGTCTACCCAGGCACTGATACAGCCTTTAAAATTACTGGGGATGAAGGCATGTGACGTGCTGTTGGAAAGCTTGTTAGGTGGAAAATAATATCAGGAACATTTGAAAGAACATTAAAAATATATGTGAAAAACAAGGTGTATGTATATGTAAATGTATGTAAAAAACAAGGTCATTTGAAGATCTGGACTTTAACCTGAGCATATTCTTTAGGAGGATTTGTTTGGAGAGCAGTTATGTTACTGGGCTCATTATGGAAAGCAAGCTCCACCACTAATGGGGGCAGCCACAGACACTTTGATAGTACTGTATCTGGCATATTAATGACTTCAGTCCTGGTTTTTTATTCCATACTTCACATATTTATTTTTAAGGAACATAAATTCATAATGGGACAGGAGATATCATAGCTTTCCTATACATGTAACCTTGCAGAAATTTTGAATAGGGGTGTACTTACCTAACCTATTCTGCAAGGGGGACCTCCACTGCTCTAGCCTACACTTCTTGTGTATCTCAAACTCGTAGTCACTCTGAGGTTTAGATGTGCAAGGTGTTCAGTCCCAGCCTGTCTTTATAAAATAACAGTAAACTGACCCATCGGCATTCAGCTTTCCTCAAAATTTAGTTCCCCAAAAGAGCTCCTGCTTATTGGAAATGGATCTCAGAAATCCACAAATTGCACTTCTCCCCTATGATTTTTGTATAATTACAGACATGAGTCCTGCAACATGTCCATTAGCAGGTTAATGAGGTAGAAACTATTACAATTCCAAAGGTTATAACAGATTTGTTTCAGCATGAAATGAAGCTGAGTGTTAAAATGTGATCTCTCCATGCCAAGATACTTGAGTGCACCATGTTAATTATTGCTAAAAGAGCTGGCCTCTGTCTCCCGATTAACAAACAGACAATTCCTCCAACAGAACAGCTTTCCTCTGGGAGGTGTTACCACGTGTTGGCCACATGCAGCCCCAAAAACTGAGCTCAGTGGAGGCAGAGGCAGACCTGCCTGGGCTGTGGGCTCCCAGGGCTCACTCCTCCGAAAGGGGTGCTAATTTGGAAAGAGACACATCCCACATCATTTAAATTAAAAGATTCAGAGTACTCTTTCCTTCAGGAGCTAGATGATTTTACTTTGTAAGTGATTTTCATAGAAATCATCCTTTTGGCCTATTATAGTTACATTTCTGTGTGACATTACGCCACAACCTCAAGGGGACCTACTGAAAAAAATCACCCTAGGGTGCTACTGACAGGGATACTCCCCTTCCTGGGAAGAAGAGGATGGGTTTGAAAAAGACAGAACGTGGCTTCCCAGCCTCTACAGAAAGGGCACTAACACTGTGTGGAGGTTGTCATCTGTAGGACTGGCTTGTGAACTTTCTGCTATTTGCTCCCTGGCTCTCACTGCACCCTGCTCTACAGAGCACTCACTTCTGCACAGGTACCTGCTCCTCCTGTACTGGCATCACCCTCGAGGCCCCTCACTGCTGACTGTGGGTTAAAATGCTTCGTAGCATTCCTTGCCTGAGCCACACGGGGAAAGGCGCCTCCCTTTTCCCCACATCAGTCCTGGCAAACTGTTTGCACCAAGAAAGATTTGGACAGGTACAAGAAAAATAGGATTTTTTAAAAATTAGCATCCACTACCAAAAAGATTGGCCCTACCTCAAATGTTCTTACTGCATATGCATACTGAAAACTACTGTAATATATAAAATATACTGTAAATGTAAGTACTTACATTCACATCCTTCTTTTCGCCCTTGCTGGAAAAGCCCCCCAGGCCTTCCATGAGCTGAGAGAGGACTGGCAAAGGTAGCCTGGTAGCCTCCAGTTTCAAAACTGTGCAAGAACTCTGTGTGTGTCAGATCTCTGAGACCTTCCTACCACCTCCCTAGGTGGTACTCAGAGCCAGTACACTCCTTCTCAGACACACGCTGGACCACAGCACCGCTCCACAGCTACCAAGGCACATACATACCCCCCAAAACGTGGAATGGCGACTCCATTAGTTTCATCAAACTTTAGTGAATGCAATAACACAGAAGGCTTCATTCTTCTGCAATTAGAGATATTGATAAGAAATTTTGAAACCTCAAATGCTTTCACAATGCACAACCATCTTATTTTCAGCCAGCTGTAGTTACAATCCTGGTAACTATGTCAAAGCCACAGGCAGAGAGCATTGACCGATGATTTAAGTCAATATACATGACATTAATGAAGGTATTGGATAGGTTTTTCTCATGGAAGCAGTGAATATTTCACATTTTGAAGAGTTCTGATTAATCCTGTCCTTCCCCTGAATTCAGGGGCATCAGTTTGTAATGCCATAACTTGTAATAAACATGTTCTACAGTGCCTCAAAAACTTTTGCAAGATGGATGTTTCTACAAGAAGTATTTTGTTCC